TGTATTTTTTAAAAATATGTAGATTTTGTGTCTGCTTACCATTTGAATATATTCCTCTGTGAAAATCCTTTCCATGTCTTTTGCCACCATTTTGTAATTGGGTTATCAGTCTTTTTCTTGTGGAGGCCCAGGAGTATTCTGCAAACTTTTGTTATAAGATTCCTTTCTAAGATTGTATTACCAAATATTTGTTCACAGTCTGTAGGTTTTCTTTTCACACTGTTGGAAAAAGTTTTTGATGCACACATGGATTTAATCTTTAGAAGGTCCCATGCATCAATTTTATCCTCTTCAGATTGTGCATTTTTTATTGTATTTAGCAATCTCTTTATACCTTGGACTGGTGCTTCTAAACTTGATCCCAGTTTGTCTCTTATGAATGTTACTGTTTTGGGCTTTATTCCCACATCTCTGATCCACCTTGAGTTGATTTTTGTGTATGATGTGAGATGTGGATCCTGTTTCAGCTTTCTACAGGTGGAAGTCCAGTTTTGCCAGCACCATTTGTTGAAAAGGGTATCATTTTCCCATTTGATAGCTTTGATTTTCTTTTTTAATATTAGTTGACCATAGATAGGTGGGTCTATTTCTGGGTTCTCAGTTCTATTCCATTGGTCTATGTGCCTGTCATTGTACCAGTACCATGCTGGTTTTGGTTACTATTGCTGTGGTTTTGAGGTCAGAGGGTGCTATGCCTCCAACCTCATTTTTGTTTCTCTGAAATGTTTTGCTTATTTGGGGTCTCTTGCCTCTCCACATAAATCTGATTATTTCCCTTTCAATCTCCTTGGAAAATGAATTTGGTATCTGGATTGGGATTGCACTGATCATGTAGATTGCTTTTGATAGAATTGTCATTTTCACAATATTGAGTCTACCTATCCATGAACAGGGCACATTTTCCCATTTCTTTAGGTCTTCTATTATGTCTTGAAGAAATGCTCTGTAGTTCTCTTTGTATAGGTCTTACTTAACTTGGGAGGAACTGGAGAGCATTAATCTGAGTGAACTAACTCAGTCCCACAAGGATGAATATTGTATAAAACCATTATTGTGGAATGAGTATAAGGATCCAAGAGGGGTGGGATAGCAGAAGGATGAGGATGTTCAGGGGCAAAGGGAAATTGTTCATAGGGTTGTACAGTTTGGTGGGTGGAGGAGTGAGGGAAATTGGAAGAATCTGTTCTTGAAAATAGTGTATTCTAATTTTGTTAATGTTGTTGTTGTTATGTGCCATCGAGTCGTTTCCAACTCATAGGGACCCTATTCACAACAGCTCTAAACCCTGCCCTATCCTGCGCCAACCGCACCGCCTCC